CGTGAAGTTATGCATAATGGCGTCGTAATAGCTCCTCAAAATGATTAGATGGGCGCTAACCTTTTAGTTTCAACAAAGGCCAAGCAACCTACCCTATGAAAAAAAATTATGAATATTCACTTCAACCTGCATTTTAAAATGTAATTATACTAATTTATACCGCATATACTTGATGATGATTATTAAAGGAAATAGTAAATTGAAACAACTTGCCCAAATTCTGAAGAAAGAGTAAGTTGAAGCAGCAAAGAGAATAACTTTATTTGACAACTATTTTTTCAGAAATAGATCCGTAAATTACATTAGTCATAAAAGATTTCATTTATAATAATATCATAAATATATTTATGATAATCATAAACAAAATATAACGGTGAACGACTAGTGATAATTTGATGATCAAAAATGGACTTGGAAAACTTAGAGAGTATCCAAAGTTGACGAATGTAAAATCAATTCCCTCAATCGTCTCATCCTAACATCACTAGAAATATTGAGAGAGGACAAAGGACTGATCATCATAAAGAAACTACGGCCCCAGAAAAAAATACGACCAAGGAATGACATCGCGAGTTCAAGAAGCAGATAGATAATGAAATATCCACTCAATGCATTAGACTCATTATAATAAATTTCAAGCCTAATAAAGTGATTAAATGTGAATATTTGAAAAAGGGGCATTAACTTTGATTCTTATCTTTTCCAAATGCAATTATTTGAGCCAATTAGATGCTAACTAGGGATGAACATAAATCATAGGTGGGAGGGGTAATTGCCCCTTTTACTTACACTAATGAAAGGAGAATTACATCCGCAAAATCCATAGATAATGGGTTTGTATCATTTGTTTGTTTATTATCATGTAGTTTTTCATAATTTATTTTTAATAGTTGCAACTCGTTTGTATATATATATATATATATATATATATATATATATATATATATATATATCATTCGCCTTGGAAGTGTTGCTATCCTTATTGAACCGATTTGTGTTTATTGAAAGCTTGATATTATATATATGGTGAATGAATCTGAGGAAGTTTTTTTTTTTTTTGTCCTTTAGATTTTGTTGAGGTTGTGATATTTAGGCAGTGAAGAGAAAATTATAAGCAGACATGAACACTATTGAAACGAGGGGCCCTTTTCTCCGAGGGTTTCGACAAAGGAAGAGAGAGAAATGGAAAGAGATGGAGAAAAGAGAGAGAGAAAAAGGTGGTAGGGCATTTGGGGAAAAAAAGGAAATTAGAAAGTTTTTGGAGTAAATTAGATATAAAATTGTTGTTTAAGTATCTATTTGTTATTTTAGTAATAATTTAGAAATAAAATTAAATATTAACTTTTTTTGTTAATATTGTCATCTCATTAATTTAACGAGGATGACGGTAAAGTGACATTTTGTTAAAAATTGATAACGGTAGTGGCCAATTTGTTAATTTTAAAACATTAATTTGTGTAGTTTAGACTTTTTTTTTCAAAATAATAACCGTTTCCTCTGACCGGGTAAGAACTGTTGTTTTTTGGGTCTACGGTTTCTCAATTTTGTCACGTTCAAGACGACTCACAATTTATGAGGCTTCACAATTTTGTCAAAGAAGAACAAGGCCATCAGTGTCGAATTCAACACGCCATTTGACCCAATAACAAAAGCACAATGTGATTTGTATTCTTAACGTTCGCCTTTTTATAGGGATTTCTTTCGCTACAGATCATTGGACTCGCTTTTTTTTTTGGTACGATTAAACATTCAGCCAATCCCCTTCTCTATGATGTGTATTTCCTATGTATGAAATCCCTTCCAATTTTATTTTAAAATAGTCTGATATAGATTATGAAATAATATTTATTTTAAATATTTTTTAATTATTGACGATGTATTCACACTCTGCATATACGATTATTCAAATCCAAAACCTTAAAATAAAAAATGTTCCCATTAACCACTTGATTATAAGAAGTTAACATATCATGGTTTTCTCTTTGAACAAAAATCTTCACATTAATAACAACAAAAAGACTACACTAACAAAAATCCTCACATTAATAACAACAAAAAGATAGTTAAATGGGGAAGCTGATAATTTAGCTAAAATGGGTATAGGCTAGTGTAAGGTCAGGTGCTTTGGTTTGGTGAGGTGGATGTTTAAATGGGATCTTTTGTAATAATTCTGATCTGTACCTCGATGTATTATTATGTTTAGCAATAAAATTTTGGGTACTTTTTTCCTCCTCTCAGTGGCCGTTGAGTTTTTAGGAGCTTGATGGTTATGAAGGGGTTTTTTTTAATGAGGTCCTATTCTTATAAAAAAAATAACAATAAAAAGATCACACTAACAACATTTGCAGGACTTCTGCTTTTATGTTAGGAGATAAACTTATAAAATTTTAAGATAATATGAAATTATAAATTCTAGGAACCAAAACAAATTATCAACCATATATATATATATCCAAACTTTCAAAGAACGACATCCTGGTCTCACCTTTCAAGTATAAGCACTTGAAGAACACTGCAGAGTTTCTGAAAAAACGAGAGTAATGGATTGAGATTCTCACTCGTTAGTTGAGAGCTGTCCTCCATGGTTACCATTGTTTATGATTTTTTTCTCGGTGCTTTTTATCATATATATACCTATGAGGAACAACATGCTTTCTATTCGCCATTGAAGTAAACATCTAACCCAAATATAAACGAGAAGGCTAAACTATTAAAAAAGAGAATTGAAGGTAATCAAATAGATCATTATCTTTGATTTGTACTCAAATAACACCAAAGATCTTTTCTAGTATAATTAGATGTTAAGGCTTCTTAGGTACAAATTACAGCTCAAAAGCTTAGTTGAATGTAAATCAAAGATTAAGAATTTATTTCAGCCGAAGAAATACAAATTTGTAATACGGGGAATGTGAAAATGAAAGAATAGAACTGAAACTATTACTAAGATTGATGATTGATCAATAACCCAGAAGCTGTATACAAAAATCTAACTAAAAACAAATGCCATGAGAATTCTCTCAAACACGAGAACTTGTCAACAGAGAATGCATTAAAATTTCATGATGATTCAACTTCTAAACCATAAAGAACATTAGCATAATTCTCAACATCCCCTTCCCCAAAATACCTTCTTTTGACCTCCAACCACGCGTCCAATGTCAGCAAGCTATCGGAACCGGCCTGATGGCTCTTTCCAATGGCCCTGTTCACCGACAGAGAGTTAGACGCTCGGTCGAGCCCCCCGTACAAGCCAGCGCAGAACCTCATCAAGTGCTTGACGTCGTAGACTCTGTCTCCGAAGAACAAGCGCACGAGGTACAAGAACTCGGTGAGTTGGTAAGATAACAACTGGCCCGTTAAGCACTTCACAAGGTATCCGAAATCGTATGCGCTGTGGAAAGTCACCCACGTAACTTCTTCATTCAAAACGAGTCCCGATGACATCATCAGTTCCGCGAACCGGACCGAGTCGATCCCGAATTCCCGGTTTTTTTCAAAATCTATGCCTTGGCGACGGAGAAGCTCGACGGAATCGTGAGCTTGGGCATCGTTCGCGATATCGAAGTCTCTGAAATTGAATTCCCAGATAAAATAGTTTTCCGTGCCGAGATCTGGTAAATTTCCGTTACCGTCCGAGAGAGTTAAACCTAGTTGGATCATCTTCAGCATGTCGACGTTTGCTTTGAGACTTTTATAATGCGCTTGGACGTCAGCCGGCCGTACGTAGTGGGCGCCGCCGCCTGAGGAATTTGGCCTGATAACAACGCCAGGGAACTCCGTGTCCATTGAGACGATCGGAAAGTCGTCGACGATGGATCTGATCATCTTGAATTCGTATTCCACATTGTGAGACCATACGGATCGGATCACGACCGACTTTCGTAAAGGTAGTTTATCTGACATTTTCACCGAAATCTCCCTTGTATTTTCTTGGATATAAATTTTGATTTAAAGTGTTTTATAGGATTTAGGTTTCAATTTGGGGAAAAAGATTGAAAGAAAATTGACGCAAGGGGAAAGGTATTTGTAGACAGTAGGAGACGGTTTACTCATATTTAAAATTTTTAATTAATGATTAATAATTAATTCATTATTATTTGATACATGTCAATTAATTTATCATATATTCTTAGTAATTATTTAAATAAATAAATAAACATATATTTAAATTGTTTATATAATATATCAATTAATTAATATTAATTAATCAACTAATTAAAAAAGGTGGATATAAGGAAAGATGTGTGGAATTAATTTAGGGTAGTTGAATTTGAATTCGAATATTTAAAAGAAATGGGAGGAAAGAATTAAAAATTTGATTTAACAAGTTAAAGTTAAATTATAACCTTGATTTGCACTCAATGTCGGCGCAAACAACTTTTGGCAGCCGCCCGCCTCAATCAACCAAAGCATGGAAACCGTGTTCCACCGCTACTTCCAAACCCTAACACACTTCCCAAAGTACTTTTTTTAATCTTTAAAACAAAAAAATCATTATTAATATATATATATATTTTTAAAAAACATTATTAATATATATTCTTTTCAATATTTTGCCTTGGGTTTTAGTTAAGGTTGTCTGAAGTATCATTTTTGTTTGATAGTTATATGTTTCGGTATCATATGTTTTGTTGCATCGTTTAATTTTTTATTTAAAAATATATATATGTTAACATTTAAATATCAAGTTTTTTTTAATAAAATTGTTTAAATTTTAAAAGTACTAATTAAATTTAATAATAATGAAAATGATTGTACACAGCTGGTATCAATAACAGTCGCGAGGAAGAAGACGTAGAAACGCATAAAGCATGAAGTAAGATTGGGTTTTTGTTAAAAAGCTTCTTTTAGTTGTTGTTAAGAAAGGAAACAAAATTGTCCCTATTTTCTCTAATATCAACAACCATGCAAATCATAGACAAACGCAAGATTTTATGTTAGTATATAAAATTTGTATAGGAAACGAAGTTATAAAATTTTAAATATCAACGGTAATGCTATTAATCAAATGGAAGCCGTTCAACAGAGTTTTGACAAAAAGGATTGAAGAGATGAAGCCAAAGATAAGTAATTGGAGAAGCTTTTTTTTTTCCAGAGCATTCCCCATTTTGTTCTTAATGCAAGGATCAAACAACCATTACAAACTATATATTGCATTTCTACGAATGCAATTCGATCCAGGATAATATCGAATATGATCTCGAGAGCTAGAAGTAGGTACCCTCGGCTGGTTGGACCAACTTTCGGTTATGGGGGAAAGCCATCTCCTTCTTCAGCTGTGTCAGAATATCCTCCATTGTATACTCCCTCTGCCAATTAGCAATGAGTCCAAACTTCTTCGGTTCCACCTGTTGCCATTCCATACCATCAAATTCTAAGTCATTGTGTTTTCTCTCATAATACTATGGAACTATATGAATATACAGGTGATTTAAGAAATTAACCAACCAACGAAAAGCAAAAAAAAGATTAACCGACAGAAGTGAAATAAATAAACCGATCATTGCATGACCAAAGAATGTAGCATTATTAGTATATACCACTCCGGTTTCATGGTTAACACTAGTCATGTTGATCCTTGAATGAAAACGGACACTTGGCGGCTTCTCAGGATAATCTTTATCACAAAACAGCTTCAGTTGATAGATTCGGCCCTCGTGTACCGTCTAAGAACAGGAAAAAAGAATCAACATAAAGAAAGAAACAGAAAAGCATGTACAAAATGATAGCTTCCAAAATCCCCCAGCAAAAAACACAGTTACTCCAAAATCCCACCAGAACAAGCTTTAAGTTCTCTGTTTCTATGAAATGTTGAGTTTAATAACCGGTGCTTTGTCTACGATTGTTCATATATATAATAAGTTTCATCTACAGGAAAAACATTAAAATATGTTCACTTAAAAATATGCAATTACATTATGAGGACCAATAATGGTGCCAGTCCAAGAGCGCATGTAAATATCATCTCCATCATCCATTCCATAGCTCACAGTACCATCTCCAATACCTTTTTCTCCACGTTCAAGCTCCTCCAGCAATCTGAAGTTCCGAGGCACTGTAAAATGAGAGTATAAAACTCAATAAAGGGCATGATCATTATGCTAATCACACAAAAAGTTCTAACATTGGATTCAACGCCAATAGAATTTCAGTCTCCAAGAAAAGTTTATGAAAAGTAATTGATTATGCAAGCATGATTAACGGCTCCATGCCTACAAATAATCACATTACAACTGCCATAGATTAATTATGTGTCTCACTTAGATTCAAGGATCACAAGCTTGTATCGGTTTCATTTTATTCAAACTATACTTATTCTAAAACCACAAAAACAATCCCAAGAGATTCATTGGTAATAACACTTTATGATAAACTTATTTATAGCCCCGTATGAATAAGCAAAAGAAACATAATTACTGCCTTTTCAACCTACATAATTCGACTTGTAGACATTTCAAATAACGTGCAGATTACAACTCCAACAACTGCAAAGTAGCAACATCTTCATACAGCAAAAGAACTTCGTAATCATCAACGCCCATCTATTGTAGTTTTAAGAGAGAAAAAAGTTGCAATACACACAAAAAATGCGCATTTATATGTTCTTTGATTCAATATTTTACTTGCAAAACATATTCAACCACAATTAGAACATAAACGATTAAATATTCATATAAGATTCACATAGCACGAGGTTTTTCATGAAAAATCACAATTAATAAACTAAATTACATTCATAATGAAACTAAAAATGCTTTAAATTGTTCGATAGATACCCAAGATAAGCAAAAAAAAAACTTTACACCGAATATAACAGAAATGAAATCAATTCAAAAGCAAATATAAAAATTAAAAGCCACCAAGAACTTGAAATGAATTAATAAACCTATAAAACAATAGAAAAACTAAGGGAACCCTTTAAATTTCTTATCTTAATCTACATAAATTGTCCAGACCCATTAATAATAAATGATTATACAAGCAAGAAGATAAAAAAACAAAATCAAGAGGAAAAAAACCCAATAATAGACTCTAAGGAAGAATAACAGAAAGGCAAGATCGAGTCGACAAACAAAGGGGGGAGAAAATTATAAAGAGATGGGTGAAAGGGGAGCAAAGGGGCTAACCCACGACACTCGATCCTCCTGAGCCAAGCGTCATGGGTGATTCACTGGAGGTTTTCTTCTTAATGGGTTTTTAGAGATCTGATCGGGAAGGTAGGAAAAGTGGAAGATATAGAAGTCAAGAGGGGAGAATCTGGAGAAAGAAAGTCGATGAAAAGCAAAGCTGGCATGAGACCCGAATCCGACTGGTTTCAGATTGACTCGATCTTATTCCGTCAGATTTTTTTTTAAATTCTGGTTCGGATTGGAATTTTTTTAAGGTGATGTTTGGTCGATTTGAATTCGGATTTAGGTGAAAAATATTCAATCCGATTGATCTAGAAAAAATATAATTTTATCTTATATATTTAATAATAATTATAATAATACCCTTTATATATTATTTTTAATTAAGTCACTATTTTTATTGAATAAAAATATTATTTTTTATTATTTTGGGTCGAGTCGGGCTGTATTCGGATTTTCTCTAAATAAATCAGGTCGGGTAGAGTATATATATTTTTCGGGTCGAGTCGGTGAAGGATATAAAATTTTCAAGTCGAGTCCGGTTGGCCGAAACCCGACCCAAACTCAACCCATGCTCATCCCGTATGGGGGAGATAAATGGGTTATTTTATCATATTTTTCTATTAATATGATAAATGAATAAAATAAATTTAGATTATATATACATAAGATAAGATCATATTATACAATGTGTACAAATTTTTAATTTTATTTATATTTAAGACTGTTGGATAAGTGAAATATATGGTTGAGATAACAGTAATAAATAAAAAAATATTCACTGGAAAAAAATAAAGAGTCAATCTAAAATATTTATTTTCACTTATCCATCAATCATAAATCTATAAAAATAAAACAAAATTCTTAATCTATTTATAATGCAGGTACATATTATATAGATGATTATTTAAATTTAAATATTCTAAAAAGAACATTAATCTATTTTATCATTGAAATTACTCCAAAAAAAATTAAGATGATATATTTCAAATAAATATATATACGTATATATAAAATCCTTGGATAATATGCTGGGGGGGGGGGGGAAATTGACTTATTTAGTGTGTTTGAAAAAATCATTTGTTGGGATAGACTTGTTGCTATGGTATTTTGAAAAGATGTCGGACCAGTCGGTATTTTGAAAAAAATGTCTGAATCATTTGATGTCTCAATTATATGAACATAGGAAAATGATATATCTTTCGTATATTTTTTTAAAACGTCGATTGATTTAGACATTTTAAAAAAATATTATAACAAATACTTCATTTCAATAAATAAACTTTTTCATCCTAAAAACACTTTCTTTTTCAACACAATGTAAAGAATTTTGTCAACTTATTTCAAATCTGTTTACGAATTAAACTAATAGTCCAAATTCAATTACAATCCAACTCAGAACCCTTAAATCATTTAACCATTTACCCAACAACAGAATCCAATTACATTAGAAAAGGTAGTCATTACATCAATTAACCCAATAACCCAAATTAAATCTAATTGAACCCACTCAAAAAGAAAATGAACAACACATAGTGGAATTAGATTTTCATTTTTCATCTGATATACTACGATTCCCCTTTCATTGCTCTCAACGCTCTCAAATACTCTTGCATTTATGTGTTCTAATGGTCCTTTTCAAATCTAATAATACCTCATCCCTTCATGCCTAATTGTCCCTTCTATTAAATGTGTGTTAATATTTTTTTTGGAAATAAATGGATTGTAGCGATCGTTGACGATTTATCCCTTTTAATTTAGATGATAGATTTATAACTGATGGTCGATTGAATTTGATAAACGATTTTCTCTATTTATTGATAAGGAAAGAAGAAGAATCATAAAAATCGTAGGTTTATGATGGTTATTCATAGATTGATACACTAAATAATTTATTGTTAAATAATAGATTGGTCACATCATGAAGTCCAGGGGCGGAATATAAGAGGGGCATGTGGGGGTAATGGTCCCTCCAAAAATTGAAAAATTATAGTTTAGTCCCTTAATTTTTGAAAAAATAAATTTGGCCCCCACAAAATTTTAAAAATTCAGATTAAGCTTTAAATTTTTTGAATATTCTTCATTAAACCCTCCCATAATTTTAAAAAAAATCTCATTAAGTCTCTAAAATTTTCAAAAATTTTAACTATACTCCATTTAAAAAAGAGTAAATTTAAACCTTCAAAAAATTTGAAATTTTATTTAAACCTCTAATTTTTTTAAAATTACAAGTTGTCCCACCCCTAAATTATATTCTCAAGTTCTGCCACTAATGAAGTCGTAATTGACCAGAGGATATAAGACGTTGGAAGACGTCTGCAAGAGATGTAATAATATCATGTACTTGAATCTAGAAAAAATATAGTTTATCTAATAATATATATTTAGGTCGAAGACCTCCGGCAGTCAGAATTATGAATTGCCCACCGTGGGACTCGATCCCACGACCACAATGTTAAAAGCCTTGCGCTCTACCAACTGAGTTGAACGGACAATTCATTTTATATAATTACATATCAACCATAAATAGTGAAGCTGAATAAAAAATGAAGAATAACCAATATTTTAAATAAAAAAGAATATAGGAACTTAATTTTATAAGAATATAGTATATAGACTAAATTTTAAATTTTAGAATACTATAGAAACTTTTGATATATTTAAACCTATATATTATAACAAAATTTGTGCAGGTGCAGTTAAAGCAGTTCATATGGTAATCTGCTAAAGAGGGAAAACAACCTCAAAACCAGACCAAAGCGGTTCACGTAATAGATTTGTATTTGTTTTGAGGGTTTGTGCTAGTTTTTTCTTATTCCTCTTTTTTTTAATCTCCTTTAATTTCTCTTCTTCTTTATTTTTGTGATCGGTGATAATATTAGTTTTAGTGTTTATCGTCGACAGTTTGTATTTATTATTTATTATTATTTTATTATAGTGTATAATTACTTTTTTCTCACTTTTAAATTTTTAATACTTTTATGACACGTTTTCCTCTATATTTATAATACGTTTTTTGCGTTCGGTCGTTGTTTTCATTTTTTTCTTTTTTTCAGGGTTAAATTTGACATTGTCACCACTGATTAAGATAATGTTTATTTGTTATCATGTTGATCTTCTCTGCTTTGGATATTCGGATTGAATTTATAAATGTGATCTGTATTCATTGATAGTTTTTTCACGTTGCTTAACTCTTTCCCTATGCCATGCTCCACTTTGGAAAAAGAAGTAAAAAAAAAATGGAGCATAAATCGCGAAATAAAGGAAAAGATCTCTCGCACTAAAAGTCCTAATGGACCAACATTAATGGATTCCAAATCTAAGTCTTTCCCGTCTTAACGTTGGTGGTTGTTGCAGTATCATGGAGGAAATCAAGCAGAACAGTGCTTTTGCATTTGGGGCATTTCGGGTCATCATCTGAAAGCATCACGTACATAAAAGCACTTCGGGCAACCTACCAGAACCATGGCCGACGACTTCACCTCGGGGCTGCTTGAATATCCGACGGTATCGGTCATGTTTACATCGTTTAACTCAAGCTTGGGACCGTTTCTTCGACTCATCTTTTTGTATGTAATAATATAAGTATAGGTTAACCTGAAAAACAAAAGAATTCAGTTCAATGTACCTCCATATAGAGATTGAAGGTAAAGGAAGCTTGGATTGCTGAGGGATTTTGAAGTAGAAAGAGCAAATATATATAAGGGAAGAAATTGAGGGAGAGAAATGGAGCTTAATAATTAAGAGCATTCAAAGCTTTTATGGTTAAAACCCCATTTTTTTCTTTGAAACCAATCAAAAAAGGCCAACTAATAATTTAATTTCAAACAACAAATAAATTTAATGGCAACCACTGAAATGAAAGAATAGCACCTAAATCCAATTTATATGGCCCAACAGAACTCAGATAACCAAAAATGAATAATACCAACATATATATATATATATATTAATGGCAGCATCACCAATTTCATAGGGAAGTTTTTGGTTAAAATTGTGCTGAAATAATTTTTTAGTCATTAAAGTTTAAAAAACTATAAAATAGTTATTAAATTTTATCATAATATTATATAAAATAGTTATTAAACATGTCAAGCTATTAAAAAATGTCTCTTAAATTTATCATTATCTTATAACATGCAATGACCATTTTATAACAATTCAATAAATTTAATGATTATTTTATAATTTCTAAAGTTTTAGTGACTTAATAAATAATTTCAAATAGTGATCATTGTGTATTTTACACAAAATTTTAATAAAAAATAATTTATCAATAATAAAATGGGTTGTTAGTTTGGTTTCCTAACATAAATATTCAATTGTCCAAGAATTTCTCTCATTTATAATCAATTAACTCCCTTCTGACTTACTGAATTGTCAAAATAAATATTTGTAGATGTTGAAGATTTAAAATACAAAATGAATCACCAAATCAATAAATTTAGTCATTTAATGCATTTAACTTAATAAAGGAATTTCATTTTCTTTAGAATTATTAGAGTGAAAATTTGAACCGTTCAAGTGAAATATAGTTTTTATTTTGAAAGCAAATTATTATATTACAAAAAGAGTAAAATCCATAAATGGTCTTTGAACTTTTAGAGTATTTATATTTCGACCACTGGATTTTTAAAACATACAATACAATCAATAAACTTTTAATTTACTTTCATTATCATCACTCCAGTCAACTATCGTTAATAAAAACTAACGTCACAACTAAAATTCCCTCCTAAAAAAACCCGAAAGTCTTATTCTAAGTTATTAGATGCTAATACAACCATCACCGACAATGATTGAACTTTTAGAGTGTTTATATTTCGATCACTAAATTTTTAAAATATATAATACAATCACTAAAATTTTAATTTACTTTCATTGTCGTCGTTTCAGTCAACTATCGTTAAGAAAAGCTAACGTCACAGCTAAAGTATTCCTCCTAAAAAACCTGAAAGCATTATTATAAATTAGTAGCTGCCAATACAACCATCACTGACAACGACTGATATTTCTAAAAGAATCAAAACATGTAAAGATATTTTTTCATCTTAAATTTAAATCCAAACTTATTTTCTCCTAAAAAGCCTATATATATATATATATATATTCAGTTGAGGGAAGTTGGTCGAATGTAATACAGAAAAATTTGATTAGTGACTAAAATA